TGTAAGGCTTGCTAATAAATATGAAAACAAATAATAAATAAAAATTTTATAATTAATAAAATTAAACATAAAACTTTTAAAACTTATATTTATCGATGTAAATGAATCGAATTGTTTATTTATTTTTATTTTTTTGTGCTTATTAGTTCTATGTGTAACTTTTAGGTGATAGATAATAGTTATTTGTAATTTTATCCATGTAGGTTGGAAATTTTAATATTTAAAAAAATGATTATTTTAATTTTAAATAAATTTTTATTTGCTATTAGTTTTTTTAATATAATATATAAATATCATATTACAATATAAAATAATATTTATTTTTGTTATTTAATATTAATCCGTAAAAAGATTGTAATTCAATTGAGAAATTAATAGGTAATCTTGAGTTAAAATAACGAGTGATTTCTGAAAAGTTATATAGACTAAATAGTTCATGTGTTTAATATATTTTTAATAAAAAAAATTGTAAACGCAATCAATTAATAAAAAAACTACAACATAAAAATTTTAATATTTAAAAAGGAATGCAAAAAATAAAATGTTATGTTGCAATGAAAAATCCAACAATAAGATCTTCCACTAAAAATTCTAAAGGATATTTCATTTGCATAGCTTTCATTTGAAAATATCATTGGCTATTCCAACAAAGATCAAATTATATTATAATGGAATTTTAATGGATTTAATGATTCGAGTTACCATTATTTATTTCTTGTGTGAATTTTATTTTTGGGAACATATCAATGAAAGTTGCATTGGAAAGCTAATTGCAGTGATAGATACAGACAATTTCATATTGGGGGCACTATTTAGCTAATAGAAAAAATATACCATCAAAATAACATAATGTCATTACAATATTTAAATTTTACTTTTCAAAAATTATCATCTTTCTCATCTGTAATACATGTTTACAAATCTTTACAGTTACAATAAGTTAAAAGTATTCAAAAAAATATAACTTTTCTCAACTAAAAGTAAGCAAATCATTGAAAAAAATATATCTTTTAAAATCTGATGAACAAAAAATTTATGTTGTAGTATAGGTGACTCGACAATTTTGTTGATGAATTTATAAATTATGACTAATTGATTATAATATTAATGAGAAAATTGTAATTGTATATAATATAATATTAAGATATATAAATAGATTATATATTAACACATATGACCAAAATAATATATTCTTTAAAAATCTTATGAACAAAAAATCTATGTGGTAGTATAGTTGACTCGACAATATTGTTAATTAATTTATAAATTATGAATAATTGATTATAATATTAAAGAGAAAATTGTAATTGTATATAATATAATATTAAGATATACAAATAATTGATATATTAACACATATGACCGAAAAAGTTCTATACATAATATTATGAATTTTTAAGCAAATATAAAATTTAAAAACATATGAAAGAACAATATAAAAAAAAAATATTAAATCTGACAAATGATATTAAAAATTACTAAGTTGTAATACGTACTAATAAATATTAAAAAATAATAAATAAATATGTTATAATTAATAAAATTAAACATAAACCTTTTAAAACTTATATTTATCAATGTAAATGAGCAGGGTTGTTAAATGCTTGTTAATTTTTGTACTTCTTAATTCTATATGTAACTTTTAGGTGATATACAATAGCTATTTTTACCTTTATCCATGTATGTTAGGAAAAAAAACACTTGATTATTCTAATTTTAAATTACTATTTCTTTGCTATTAGCTTTTTACATATAATATATATATATATATATATATATATATATATTGGATTGTATCTACAAAAAAAAAAAAAATTGGTAAATTGCAATGGAAAATGCATCTGTAAGATATTCCAAAGAAAATTCCAACGGATATTTCATTGGTAAAGCTTTTATTGGAAAATTTCATTAACTATTCCAGCAGAGAACAAATTAAATTACATTGAAAATTTTGTGAATTAAATCATTCCAATTACTATAATTTATTATTGTTTGATCTCTGTTGAATTTTTTTACGGATAGTATTTCAACCGTTGAAAAAACTGTCATTGAAATTGTTTACAAAAATTAATAGAAGTTCCATTGGAAAACTAATTGCAGTGGCGGATCCAAAATAATTTTATATTGGGCACTATATAGTTAATAGAAAAAGTATACCATCAAAATAACATAATGTCATTACAATTTATAAATTATACTTTACATAATTTGTCATGTTTCTAACTTGTAATACATTCTAACACTTCAGTACAGTCACAATAAGTTAAAAAGTATTTAATAAAAAAAATGACGATTTTTCTCAATTCAACATAAGAAAATCATTGAAAATAATATTATTTTTAAAAAAATTATAAACAAAAAATCTATGTTGTAGTATAGCTGACTCGGCAATATAATTGATTAATTTATAAATTACGAATATATAACTAGAATTCTCCTTGCATTAGTTATAAAAGACATAAAAAATATATTTTGAAGATATAGAAAAAAATATGTTGCAAAAGAGAGATTTGAAACTGTCATCAAGATTGAAATAATATAATTAGAGGATAAAATTGTAATTTTGAGATATATTATATTTTCTTTAGTTGTGATGCCACGTTTATGTTATAACATTATTAAAGTTATGAGTTGAATTAAATTATAATTGGTTGAGTTGTGAATTAATTCATTATGTATCTTTCTTTCTTTCAATTCCATTTTTAAAATAGGGGACATGATAAAAATTATGAAAAAATGTTCCCACAAATTTTTATTAGATTCCTTACGCTATATGCTTTAGGATGGAGGGTTGTGTCGTTTCTATAAAATAAACATAGATCTGCTCATGATTCCAATAAAATATTTTTGCTAGAATTAGATTCCTTGTGGCATATTTTTCTTACATAGATCCGAAAATTCATACTAAGAAAAAACAAAAAATGGATGTAAATATACAAGTATCACCAATATTAACTATGTGAATTAAAAGGAGAAATAAACGAGTTGTATGTGAAATTTTATTCAACTAACACATAAATTCAATGAGTATGAAAATGAGTTAGTTGCTTAATATTTTTCTCAAACATTGGGAAAAAATTCTAAACCTTTTAATCTAATAATCAGTATAAAAGTACATTTTTTTATTAAATATATTATTATTATAAATATATAAATAAGTAATATTAAATTTTATTTTATCTTATGTGATTATATTAGTTGTTGTCTAATAAATAAGATATTTTGATAACAACGTCATTATATGAAACACGTACAAAAAATGATCCAATACATATAAATGTGCTAGAATTCGTTTAATAAATAAAGTATTATTTATCAATAGAAATAAAAACTAATAAATTAATAGTAGTGGAATTGAAAAAAGAAAACATTTGAATTTTCTTAGACAAGTATGAATACCAATATTTAGAAACAAAAAATCTTTTAAAAATAATACTTTATTTGTTGCTAGCGTTTAAATATATGGAGTCTGTAAGAAATTGGATCTCATAAATAATGATCCTATATTATCAATTTTTAATTTTAAATAATTAAAAATTTAAAACTTTATAATACATAATGTAGATTTTAATTTGATTTCGTAATAATAACGTTCAAAGATGACTAAGAGTCATAAAATAGAATCATCTCAAATATTTTAACAAATGATATACTTCTCAATGTTGTCTCATTGTTTTGTTTTGTTTGATTTTGTCATTGGTGAAGAATCAATAAAGGAACTTTATCTCGAGTTTTTTTTAGTATTATGTATGATGCATAAAGTTGGACGATAAAAGCATTAAAAAGTTATTGGACACATAAATATTACAAATCCAAACGAATGTGAAAGATGTGAAGATAAATAATTCTAAAATCATTGCAAGAACTAGATGGTCAATGATTTGCAAACAATAGATTATATAGTTCATCTATCTTCCAAATAAATGACATTGAAAATGAAACGTTGGAGCCTGATCAAAACATTTTTGAATGTTTGAATGAAGTTGACACTTCTTATAGGAATATTTATAATTTCATTGGTGTATTGTGCTTGAACATATATGCAATTATTTTATAGTATGAACTTTTAGTTAATGTGTGATGATTTAAAAAAAAAACCTCGGGAAAAGTACATGTAATAGATATTTTGAAGAGTCAACTTTTATTTAGAGATGAAATTCATTCCCTTCCGTAGGGAGATACATCCATGGGGTAGGTATCAATAATTTGTCGATATATATAGAGAGAGTAATTAATAGTTTGTACAATGATAAAAAATAATCAACAATTTTAATGACACAATTTATTATTTTACAGATATATTCATGCATAATTAGTAGAAATATAAAGATAATACAACCATAAAGTTTCACTATATGTTTGGATAGAATATTTCTTAAGTGTTTGAATAAAGTAGACGTTTTGCCAAATGAATTAAGATGAATTTTGCAATACTATTGAATCAATAATGCTTCTTATGAGGACGTTAAAATCAAAATGAAAGAGAACGCTATCGAATTATCTAACATAAACAAATAAAATAACTAATGCATGTATAATATATATTAGTCATTATTTAGTTATTTAGTGTTTTTGTTGGAGTTGTAATATGTTATTTAATTATTTTTATATTAGAACATCGTTAAGTTATTTTAGAAAAAATAACTTGTTTCTATATTTTGTTTCATTAATTTGTTCTACATTTTGTTTCATTCTTGCAAGGATATATTTAATAAATTAATTTATTTATTTTACAAAACTTAATCGGCAAAAAACGATTACATTATGAGCTCATTTATTCTACGTTTTATTTCATTCTTGCAACGATATTTTTAATAAATTAATTAATTTATTTTACTAAACTTAATTGGGAAAAAACATTCGTCACCACGTGCATCGCACGTGCACTTTACTAGTAGAATACTAGAAATGTACTAATAGTGAGTTTATCATTATCTTTTTTTATAGTGACTAATACATATAAGTCAAATTAGTTTAGCGACAGAACCCTTGTCTCGTAATTTGACAACGTTCAAGAATCATACTGAAAATTCAACTCAAACTTCCAACTTCATTTCACATTTTTCCCCATACAAAAGCTCCTCACCCCCCATTAGGCATAGGGAAAATGAAAAAGATTAACTAAACAAAGCGAACACAAAAAGAAAAAAACACAAACCAATTATGTGAATGAGTGAATCACCCTTCCAAAACACCCAATCACCAAAATTAATTAGTTAATTAACAACCTTACAATCCCGCCTAATCTCACTCCCACTCCCAGTACTAATGCTACTCATCTTGACCATCGACTTTGCAAACGCCTCATAAAACTTACCTTGAGAGGATGCGAATTTCATGACCAATGCCCTAGTCCTTGAATTAGTAAGCAGGGCCTGATCAGAGGAAAAAATGCTCTTCCCTTTGAGTATCATTTTGTAGTAGGTGTTGTCGAACAGAAACGGAGACGAGTCCAAGTCAGCCCCAGCATTCTTGTTCGTGGTCCGAAAGGGACACTCCTGCCTTAGCTGGGCCGCAAATGACGGGTCCAAGGATGGGTCCACGTCAGCTGTGTCGCTGAAGTTGTAGATTCTGTTTTTGAAGGACGAACAATGGGAGAAACCGAGTGTGTGCCCGCCTGCATCAATTTTTTATTTTATTTTTCAAAAATGGTCACTATATATATGTTTTGAAAATATTGTGAGATTATTTGAACCTTTGAACAAAGTTGATGATTTAGGGAGAATGGAGTACCTGAGAGTGCCACTAAGTCATCCATAGAAAGGCCTCTTTGTGAGAAGCTCTGTTGCGACTGAGATATGTTGAAAGTCGGTGCAGGCAATTGGCGAGTGTCTGATGCGTTTGAAATCCTTCCGTCTGTCCTCCCTTTTGGTACATCCCATGTGGGACCTCCGGACTAGAGCGTGCGTAATTAATCAAAATTTACACATAAATCGTGAAAATTTAAAGTCGTCATTACTTGATTAAGGATTTCCGATACATGATTTAAGTTTTTTCAAACTCAAACTGCATTTGTATTATATCAATTTTATATGTATAAAAGAAGTACTTTTTTTTTTTTCTAAAGAGTTGGTTGAATAAATGACTTACAAGTGTCACGGCATCTCTTGCAGCAAGAGCCAAAATGTCAGCACACGAGACAACACCGGGGCACATTTTCTCGATTGCCTTCTTGGCATCATCGATCACGTAAAATGCATGTAAAGAAATATTTGGAGGTCCATCCTTCTCTGCTTGGTTGTTTCCCTTGCTATTCAGCAGCACGGAAGCGTCACAACCCTTCAAACGAATTCAAAAAATTATATAAATGTCAATATTACAAGAATCAACAACTAATCTTGAAATCAAAGAATATTATTAAATATGAAAATATATATATAGAGGGTCTATGTAAAATATTAATTAGTTACTCTAATAAAGCAGTCGTGGAAGTGCATCCTAAGTAGGGCGGCTGCAACTGTTTTCTCAGTTGTCATGGCTTGCTTAACGGTTTCTGTGATGGTGAACTCGGCCAACGGGCATGTTTTTTGGTAGTAATCTACATCTAGTGCATTTGAAGAATAAAAATTTGAAGAGAGAACAATAGTCACTAGAAAAATTAGGAGTGCTGCTGCCATTGATTATTGTATATGATTTCTATTGATAACTAACTGTGTTTTTTCTCTCCTTTGATGGCTTGACTGTTGAGGGATTGGACATGGTATATAAAGGGTTTTCATAGTGGCATTTTGTCAAACACCTAAATCCTTTTGTTTTTATTTTTCTTGAAAAATTTAGATTTATACAACTGTTACATGTCTGTAATTTTGCATGCTTTATTCCTTTGATGCCTTGACTTGTTCAGGGGTTGAATGAAGTATATAAAATATAAATGGTTTTCATAGTAGCATTTTATCCAGACACCTAAGTCATTTCGTTTTATTTTATTTACCTTTCTTGACAAAAAAATAGATATATACAACTTTTACATGTCTGATGCTCTGTAATTTTGCATGCTTTGCTCCTTTGATGCCTTGACTTGTTATGCTTTGCTCCTTTGATGCCTTGACTTGTTGAGAGGTCTAATCACTAATGTGATATAAAAATGGTTTCTATAGTAGCATTTTTGTCCAACACCTAAGTCCTTCCCTTTTATTTTATTTATTTTTCTTGGAAAAATTAGATATATACAACTTTTACATGTATGATGGTCTGTAATTTTGCACGACTTAGTCTTGAGAGTTATAATTTTCTTAGTTACTATAAGGGCACGTTTGTTAGCCTAGATAAGATAGGATTACGCCTCCAATCCACCCCTAATCTCATGTTTGTTTACCATGATTCCGGCCCGCAAGATAGGACAAGGCCCGCGATGAACAGTGTTAAAATCGTGGGAAACGGAGACTAATGAATCTTGGCTGAGGCGTGAGATAACTTTGATCTGCACAGTAAAAAATATGAAAATTACAAATGTATCCCTAAAAGTAAAAATTGTTGACCATATTAACCTCTTTTGTTGCCAAAATTACCCCTTCCATCCTTTCCCCTTCTCTACACGCGACCGCACCCTGTTCAAATTTTCTCCATCTCAATTCCCAAATATTTCTTCAGATTTTTTGTTCTTTTCCTTTTTTTCTTTAATTCTTTCCACCCCTAATATTATGTTCCTCACTGTCACTGCAGATTGAAGACGCTTTTTTTTCTAATTATGTTTTAATTCCCTTTATTTTGCAATTTGTTTTCAAGAGAGCCACGATTTTGGGTTGGATCCAGTCTAAGAACTAGAAGAAGAGTGACGATGGAGATGGTAGAAATCGGTCGGGGGCGAAGATTTCGGAAGAGGAGTAGCGACAACGAGAGGAAGAAGGCTAATTTGCTCAATTTTTATTTTCTTTTTGTTCTAGGGTTTCAGAAAGTGTGGGTCGAGGTTGTCGAGCCAGAGCAGCGCAGAAGAGGCAATCAACGAGAGGTCAGCTTTCATTAAAAAATTCCTAGCTTTGTGGATTATGTTGGAATTGGGACTTTTGCGTTTTTCGATTATTCTACTGGAAAACTTCTTGGCTTTGCACTTGTAATTTTCAGGGGTTTCTTTCGGAATGTAAACTAAAATGGTTTAAGTATTTCAAGAATTTCTGTGTGGTGTTTCTAGGTTTATTTGTTTCTATATCGTAAGCTCAAATAAGGAGAAAACGAAGAGTGTGGAGGTTGTTGACTTGTGTGTGTGTGTGTTTTTTTTTAGGGAAATTGAATTCTAATCATTTGTGGATTTTGAAGATAGTTTCAGGGAATGTATGTTCTTATTCAGTTTCTGGAGACATATGCAAAGTTAGTGTTTTTGTTAGTGCATTGAAGCAAGATATATGCTCGTTGCGATAGAGATGGATAAATACGAAAGCCTAGAGATCAGACGGAGATCCCCGAGTCAGCCCTCTTACACCTCCCTGGCGGACTTTTCAGGATCCGCCTTCGCCGTCTATCAACGACCTTGTTTTTCCGGCGAGTTCGTAAGCCTTGAGGATGTAATTAGCTCCTTCCCTGTGGACGAGCGCAAATCGATTAGTTGATCAGGTGTTTAGGTCCTTTCAATTCTACCATGCTCCCGTTGTTTGTCTATGGAGTTGCTTCGGCTATGAAAACGAGCATCGTTCTCAGCACATTCAAGCACTTGAAGTGCCTGTTCGTGTACTGTAGTTGCTTAACCTGCTACAGTCCGAGAATATTGTTCGAGGAAAAGGTTCAATAAAGGACCCTGACAAAGTATGTGGTCTAATGTGATGTCTAATTACAAAATAAGTATACATTTTGTTCATGGATGCATAGGTTAAATATGCTATAATAATTGTTTGATTAATGATATATGTTGAGCATTTTCTCCATTACTGCTCCTGTTATTTGCAGGAAGAGAAGTTACGTGGACGTCCAGACTATGAAACGTGTAAAAACAGGACGTTGAGTTGCAAATCATTAAGTTGTTCAGTCATCAACTGAGTCATACTTGTCACATGTCATATGGCATTTAGGCGAACAGGATATCGTGGTTGATACGTGATTGGTTTTCTTTGCTCCTAGTTTCTCAAATGGAATATAGGAACAGGAAGATGAGAGAAGACCAAAAACAAAATGAAGTTTCTTAAATTGTTGATCTTAAAGTGGGTTGTGGCTATGTTTGTTTATGTAACATTATTCATTGAATTGATTCTTGTGTTAGTGTGAATTGTTATTGTTATTGGTACTGAGTAGTGAGTACCTTCAAGAACTCACAGATTTTGTAAGCAATTTGTGACAACAAACGACTATTTTAAACGTGATTTTGGGACACTTAAAGCCTCAGCAAGCTCTAATATTTTGTTAAAACAATCAGTTGTGTGCAGTGAGACATTGCTGGCGGACAGAACTATAATGTCTCTAGTTATTTAATTTTTCCTGCATTGAGTTGTGGCTATGTATAATACTATAATGTCATAAATGTTACTATCTACTTCATTGTGATTGCCTTGTACTATATAATATTATTTGGGTAGGATTATTCGACTTTGACGGTTGTTTTCTGCTATGAATTGTATCATAATAAGGTCCTTGAATAAGATTTCTTAATTTCTGCTTTGAGTTGTTTTCTGCATTGTGAAAAGATTGAGTTGTTTTCTACATTGTGAAAAAATAAGATTTCTTAATTTCTTGAATAATAATAAGGTCCTTCAAGTATGAAAATATATGATTTCTTAATTTCAAGGTGTTGGTTCATATAAACCCCAATTTCAATGAGAGAAGTACAAAACCAAAAAAAAAAAAATAAAAAAAAATATGAACATAAGCAGAAAAACGTAACTTAAACACATAAAAAAAGACAAAAAAGTGTCATGAGTTTTAATGTGTTTTAAATTGAGGACATTTTGGTAATTCACAATTTTTATCATATATCTTATCTAGGAAAACAAATGTGAAACACAAAAATTAACATAATCCTATCTTGGATCAATCTTTCTTAACAAACATAGATGACACATAATCTTAACAGTACAATCTTAATTAACAAGATAAAAATTGTCTAATCTAGTCTAACTTAACAAACGTGCTCTAAGTCTATAAGGATAGGTTTTGAAGAGCCACTCCTATTGAATGGCAAACACAGAATGCAAACTGGAATCTTTGGCCGAATTGAGACCTAAAAGCAAACCTAAATTGTGTTTGTCCAGTTTTTCCTGAAAAAAAAAAAAAAGAACACAAATTTGCGTTTTGCTCTTGGGTAGACGCAAAAATTTGTGGTATTCATATGTGGGGGAAGACAAGTCTCGTCAAAACTTGCAAATTTGGATTGATATTGTAGGTTTCAGACAATCTTAAAAAAAAATATGTCTATTTATGTTTGCTGTTATTTATTTATGTACTTTATTTAATAATATTATTTGTATTGTGATGTGAAAATACCAAACTATGAAACTAAAAAATGTAAAAAAACTTATGAAAAAAATTGTATTAGTAATATAAAAAGATTCATCACACACACACACACACATATATATATTTGATAATAAATAAAATCATACAAATTCAAAAGTATTTCTAAAATATTGTCAAGATGTTCCTACAAATATTATACATAATATAACTAAAAAAATATTATAGGAAAATATGTGTAATAAAATTAAGTAAAATGATCTTTCTTATAAAAAAAGTTAATGTCAAAATAGTAATCAATACTTAACAAAATTATAAAACATATTATAACTGTGAAAGTAATGTTTTCTTTTCTTATTTAAAAAATATTATTTTTTTTAAGTTTTTATGCTTACGAATTATTATTTTTATAATCAATTTCATTTCATGTTTTACAAATGGATTCAAAATAATAGTATGAATTATTTTGTAAATTTATAAAATATATGAGTTATATTGAAAAACTAAAAAGTTGTGCGAAATAGAATATTGTAAGAATGTACTTGAGATAAAGGTTTCAATATAATATTTTAAGATTATACTAAGTTTTCAGTTGGAGAATCTAATATTGAATATAATAGTTACTGCAATGGGAAATGACCTAATGTAATAAGTCACAAGCCACCCTAACATGAGTTTTGTTGGCATCTTTAAACATTCTTGGATCCACACCACACCGTGATTCACGTAAGCCACTTTCAT